TAACTTCTAAGTTAAGAATACAATGGCCCAAATTTCCACTGATTCTGCTAAATGAGCAGTGCTAAATCGTACTGGCCCATATGAGTGTCTCAGCCTAGAAAAGTCAGTGCTAACACCAGAGTGAAATTAATCTGAAAATCGTAATTCTTAAAAATGCATAAGTGCATTACTGATGCTCTAGCACTTACGGCTGTCGTAACATATGTTTCCTAGAGCCCTGCCCGTTTGAAGCAGCACTTCCTGGTCTTTGCTATGCAGCAGCTGCACCAGCGGTGAAATCAATCCCGCGTCCACACATGGAATTCGCATAAATTCTGAAAATAAGAGACATAGTTAATTAAAAATCTAAAGATTCACAATTTACCTAAATCACTTCACTTAACAAAATATCTACTTTTCAAATGTTTAAGGTGGCTTAATGTTTGAAGAGTACATTTCTGTTCAAAAGTACCCTGTTACAACCCTACGAAACACTTCATGAAGTAAGTACACGAAAATGAGTGGGGTCGTATTTTTCTTTGTGGATAGTCTCTGCCATAAACCAAAGGGGTTTTTAATTAACTTCCGTTACAACTAATTTATCGTAACCTTTTTATAGTAAGCGGCTATGCTATGGAAGCAGTATGCGATGATGGAAATGTTGGCACTGTGTTTTCTTGCGTCTGATAAAGTACTACGGTTACAAACCAAGCTATCAAGTTGCCTAATTTTTCACCATATGTTCTGTAAAAAATTCAAAGTATATTTTTAAACAAGGTTTCAGTGAGTCATTAAAAATAACAAGTCCTTTTCAACTGGTAAGACCTGGTGGAGTCCACTCCTCGTCTTTAGTCCTATTCTTTAATAAAATCCATTTCACGGCTCACTCATGGTTGCCGCTGTACCGATGCACTTACAGGTCTAAAGCACCAAATGCTAAGATTTCTTAAACTTCAAACTTATTTTCTCTTTTCTTTATAGTATACCAGTCTCTACTTATTGACTTCCAATGGTACCACCACAGTCATGATTAGAAATAAACTTTTTTTTTTAACACTGTCTCATGATGGACCACTACAAAAATTTAAGGATAATGAAGGTAAGTAATTGATGATGAAAGTTCTCCAATAACCAATATTAGAATCATCATTTTGGACATTACCACTTACTGTAAGGATGTTCTGGTCAATACAGTTAGTCAACAAAGAACTAATTCCTCGACCCATAACCTGTCTCACTAAAAAAATCACTATCTTTTCCCTCTCACTTTTTCAAGGAGGTTCTACTCCTTAGTTCGTTCCCCATGGACCTTCATAAGCAAACCTTCTTCCTTCCCTTCATTTTCAAATTCTTAGAGCGCACCATACCGGGCTAGTATGTGAGCGGTCACCCCCTAACATAGCTTTAAGTCACAGAAGTATTCCTCTCTGCCTAAATAAAGGATTTCATTCCTATCATATCTTTCTTACTTGTCACTGTCTTACTGAAAACCCCCTGTAATTTAAACTTCCAAGATTGAGAGTATTTCCTACTTCTAAATCTAATCGTTAAGTTTATCCTTGATAGTTTCAACTCAGTAGTAGGAGGTATCCTACCACTCATGCTGGAAAAATACATGATCCTATACACATCCATGAATTCAATAACCAGCTATAGGAGATAACACATCAGTCTGCTTGTTTATCTATTAATGGTTACTTTAGAATCCTTATATTTCATATCTCAAATTAACATACCAACTCAAATTAATCAAATTTTTTCCTTTTTACTGATCTATGCCGAGTTCCAATAGATCATTTGATTGATTGCTAAAATAAAAAATCTAGGAATGGTCTGATTTGCACACTTATTTCATAAATAAACTTGTTATATCTTATTTTGTTTGTTTTGTTGTTGCTATTCTTTAGGCAACAGCGACATTAATGAATTACTATTTGTCTTTGCTCTTATGTTCTAATTATCTATATGATATCAATCTTTCAAAATTTTGACTCTACAACCAACTGCTTCAGGTATTCTTGAAATGAGGAGGGTAAATAATTA